CTACCATACGACTTTTTATCATCAGAGACTTTATTCTCCGGATTTCCGCCTTCCGAGATTTTATCCTCGGAGAATTTGTTCTCAGGTCCTTGATTTTTACAGTTCGGTATTGTATCCTCTGGTGTTTCCCTCGCCGTTGTTTTCGGCGTATTTTCTGTGGTGAGTTTTTCGTCATTCTTGTCTGATTCTAAATACTCAGGAGACTCTGGTATCTCCATCGGCTCATAAAGTTGTGTCGCCAAAAGATCGTCAAATGCTTCGTCTTGTTTTGGAAGTGGACATGAAGGTCTTGGGCTTTCTTTATCTGTAATAATATACGTACAACACTTTTGTCAAGATTCAAAATCATGCAATCGAGTTTTAAAGTGGATGACGTACAATTTCGAGTATCGATTTCGGCTATACACTGTACCTGGAGTGTTGTCAAACAAAAGTTTGTTCCTCACTTTTTCACATTCACCAGACGTTTCTGACTTTGCGCTGTCGTTTTGGGAAACGTCAATCGACTCCCTAAAGAAAAAGATTATTATAGCCAATACCCAGGCAGGATTTACAACGAGAGATCAGAGAATATCAGCAATCAAAATGAAAACATAATATACGATAACAAAGAGTTTCACCACACAACTTAATAAGATCACTTTACCGTGTAGTATCGGCCGGACTCTCCAAGGTCGACAGACCATAAGCTAGTGTGTTTCCTGCAGACACTCGTCTTGAAGTGTCAACTTTTACATCCACAGATCTTTTTAGTTTAAATGGCGACTCAGTGCTGTTGGTTTGAGGAAAAGGTGTCTCAGGAATGACGTCTGGTTCCTGCGTGTTTGGTATGGTATTGTAAGGCATCGTAGTTTCTAAAGTTGAGTCATTTGCAGTGGCCTCAGCGGAATATTCGACTGTCTTTTCTTTACTGAATAATGGCTTGGTATCTACTCAATAAGGAATCATAAAACAATTAGCTTACCCAGATTATTACTCCGCACAAGCCAATAAAAAGGAAACCATGTGTTTACTCACTACATGAAGTGTTATTGCTATTATCATTAGTTTCACTTTCATCATCTGTTTTATCATCATCTGTCTCATCATCATCTGTTTCCGCACAGAAAAGTGTAGAATGTTCACCTGAAGTTTAAAAGAGGAATGATGATGATGACATTTGAACATTTCTACCTTTTCATCTCATTTATTCATATACTTATATTCATATTTAAGGTACAGTACCTGGATTTTCATAATCGTACTCTAGTGTAGGTTGGTCAAGATATTTCTCCAAGGATTCTTTCCGTGGTTCTTCCTTGAGCTAAATCATTAATACATTATACGTGACGAATATAAACTTTTTAGCAGCCATCATAGTAAGGCAAAGCTTGCATAAATTTAGATGATTAAAAAGTATAAAAGAACGAACCTCTTCATCTTCATCTTCTATGGATTCTGGCATCATTGACTCAGATGCAGTTTCTGATCCAGAATCAGCAATTTCCTTTTCAACCTATCAATTAAGAATCATTACTTGACATTCAACAGTACCAACGTCACAGGTCTGACAACTAATAACTAACAGTGGACCTAAAATTTGCAAGTAAAATGCAGTTGCAGTGAATTCAATAAACAGTGGTATATGTTAGATAGACTATAAACATACCACATCCTCAGTCTGTGCAAGTAAATACTGACATTTAACATCAGCAAACATCAGTTCAACTTCATTAACCAGTTCATAGAATGCTTGAGGCTTTAGGAACATCTGTGAAGACAAAGATTAAGATATGGTGAGGATGTTGGTGTTTCCTCTGGACAAACATAAGGTTTACTAACCTGATTTCGCCGTGTTTTGTTGCGACTATTATAGTCACATATCAAGTGGTTCTTTCCATGCACATCAATACAAGCATGTTTCTTTGACACAGCCTGTTAAATATCACAATGATTACGTGCAGATATATTAATTATCATTGGGTAATCAATAAAGTAAGTAGTAGAACTTTACGTAAGAGAGTCAGAGAGAATCAGATGTTAGGTAAAGCTGTGTCAGTTATTTTACTTATTTACCTGCAGTGGTAATGTGATATCACAATTGTGCCTTCCAACTACGTTTTCACCTGCATTGAAAATGCAAATTATGTTATATTAAAGAGAACATGCACGTCTTTCCTCTAATTCTCTTCTACAAAGTCTAAAGAGTCTGCACTCTACCTTCATAAACTGGAAACAGGGTCTCTGGAAAACTCCCCACAGCAAAAACTTTTAAAAATGCAACCTATTAAGAATTTGAGAAGAGGATGGTTTGTTGGTGGTCAACTTTCTAATCGCCTCCTGCCCGATCCATTCATTCAATACACACCGTTTTCTTCGTTCCACTGTGATTAATGTCTTCCTCATCCAAATCTTCAAGAATCTGAGTAGCATCCATTCAAAAATCAAACAGAAAATATAGTTTTTCGACGTAAATATTGTAAAGTGTAAACAAATTGAAAATTGTCACATGGACTACAGTTAGAGATACGTCATGTAAATTTTTTGAATTGGCGAAATATGTGTAATTTATGCCGCGCGAAAAGCCTGAAGATCGGTGGCAAAATAAATTCTACATAAAATTATTAAAATATATTTGATGAAAATAGCTAAATACAATGCCTTAACAAGCATTTGATCCTTGGTAGACTATAATATATTATGCAAGAGAGTTCATGCAACATTGAACGTTAAAAATCTCTATTTTCTGTTAAGGTATGATTCCAAGTATTTATCCATATCTTTTCTTCTATCTAACTCTCTATTAACTGTCTCTCGTAACTGACCCAAAACTTCATGCAAGTCATTTGACCTAGGCTCATTAGTTGGCCCTTGCTGTCTGTGGTCAATATACGGCACCCGGTTCTGCAGGAGCGGAAACCCGAGAGGACTTTGAATCCCTAGTTGAGTTCTTTCCCGTATAGGGGTTCCGTAAGATATAGGACTTTGTATTCCCAGTTGTGATCGTTCCCGCATTGGGGTTCCGTATGGGTATTCGGTGTATGCTGGTGGATTGGCGTAGCTATTTGGGGATGCTGTAGGTACTTCCGATGGGGTGAGAGTGTGTCTGACATTATACGTATTATTGACTGTGGTCTGTGAATAATTTGGGGTTTGTAACGGAGTTGAATAAGCACTCGGAGATGGGCTGTTTGGTGTGTTGTTTGATGGTGAAGAAGGAGAGTTACCAAGTGAAGAAGCTGGAGTATTGTTTAAAGGTTTAGGAACCGGAGGTAACCGAAGTGTACCAACTTCGGGCGGTGTCGGAAGTCGTAATCTGTTACGACGTGGTATCGGGTCATCTTCTTCATCAAACGCACCCCATGTGTCGTTAGGTACCGAGAGAGGCGATGGTTTACGAGTCGCTTGAATCATTTCCACCGGTGGTCGTCCGTCTACTTCCGATTGATGATCCGGAATAGCTTCACTGGACGGCGCAACTTCACGTTTGATCACGGGTATCTCGTGCATTTCAATAGCAGAATTTGCTAGCTGTCTCTCCCTAGGCTTCCGATCAGGTTTGGCTGCCAAGTGTACCGCGGCATCGCTGTACAGCGGCGGTGTAGGAACTAATACAGGCTCAGGCTCGACAACATCGCGCGTCGAAGTTGGCTTATCGCTCTGAATTGGACCCGAGGACAGGTCAGCTGTCAGGCTTGATTTTGAAGGCGAGACTCTCTTATCAAGGAAGATCTCGGGTAGGTCGATTGCGTGATTGCTTCCATGGTAACCGTCGTTTATGATTGTTGTTGATGCGCTGTTGTACAGAGAAGCATTGCTGCGGCTTATCCTTTCAGTGACATGAATCTCATTGTCTGGTGAGTCGGCTAAAATAACTTCCTGCTTTTTGCTCTCGTACGGAAATACAACACAACGACAAATGAAGAATATAAATGAAAACAACAAAAATATCAAAAGAACGACTATAGGAACAATGTACAGTTTCCATCTATCCTTTTCACCACCTTTCACCACATTTACAAGAACTCCGGGTTTTGCCTGGCATTTTTCTTCAGATATATTCACTAACACGAACGTAGGTAAAAGTACGGCCTTGAATCCTGTTAAGGCGCTGCCATTGCTGTGCGTCATTTTCTCGGAAAGCGACTGAAGCGTCGCATTCACTTTGAAGCAAACACCACAGGTTCTTGCATGGCTCCAAACAATACTAAACGAATTGTTGCCTTCTGATGTCGTAGAAAGATCGTAAAAGTTTGTGTCAGTTAACCAAGTTTGAAAATACATTTCCAATTTTTGAAGAAATCTTTGATTTATATCCTCTTTATTCCCTGCGTAAACAACTTCAGAGAAAACTTTATAACTGAGCAGGTTTGGGCGGCATCTTTGTTCTAGGAATACCTCGAAAATATCAACGGCTTCGTTACCATGTTGATCACGGGCAACCAATCGAAACGAGTTTTCCAAGCGTTTTCCACCAATAAGACACCTGATATAACCAGACTGACGTTATCACATTTCAACCAATAAGAAGCTGGAACGGTGACTTTGTTAGTAAGCTGCATTTTCAACGAGAGATTCAAGGCGTTGCCATCTTCGCTATCCACAAATGCATCCTTCAGAAGGGCATATGTCAATAAGCCACCAGAGTAAGCGAATATTCTACCAATTGGTCTAAGAAGTCTAGGGGCGATTTCTCTGCCTCGATTCTACACAGACCATACTTTTCCAAGGTAATAAAATTGGGAACAAAATATGGAAGCATAGATTGAGAAAAGGTCCGATCCACATCGCCTGTGTTCAAGTTAAACTTCTCGCTAATTATCCTAATTTGGTTTGAATCGCACGAATTCGCAGCAACCGAGCAGTTTGTCCATGTCACAGATAACCTCGAATTACTGGCTGAAGTCTTTCTGCAATACTTAGTCACCATTATCGATCTCATCTCGGCTTTTAAGAATAACGCAAGCTTCTCAACGAAGTGCTTCAAGTGATACACATCAGCAATGCTTTCTGCGACATAACTAGACATTTATCAACACTCCGTAATGGACATCTGGAGTTCTATCACCAAAGATAATCTCCAGCCTCATTGTCGCAAACTTTCCCTGTGAATCCCCTGCTATCAAGATGTACACCTCCCTGGTCGTAGTACTTGAATTACTGGAATTGCTCATAGCAGGAAACCCGTACAAGGTCTGGTTTTCCTGCTTCAGTTGAATCCACGAATCGGTGTGATTTCAAGCGAGTGGATTGTTTTTAACGAAAGTGTCAGGTTTCTTGTTCCGCCATCTTCAGTGTCATGAAAGAAATCAGACGGTATTTGAAACTGCCACACTCCGCAAAAGTTTTTAATCGTTAGCTGGTAAAGAGAGTGTTTAGCTTTAGGCTGATGGTTAGTATCATCCACACACGATCCAAATCTTTGCTCAAACACAAATTGCACGTCGAAGTTTGGGCGGAAAGCTTCCCTAAGTTGTTCTGATATCTTTCCATCGTTCCTTAAACGCTTTGAAATCTCTGTGATTCCTAATATGTCACAGCCGCTGGGGTCCAGACTGCAGTTATTCCAAGTGAAGAAAGATGTTGTAGAATTTACACCAGAGCGTAGAAACGAATGTCGCGAATTAATGCTCAGTTCCACCCATGAAACCTGCTAGAGCTGGCAATATAATCCTCATTTGATCAACAGAACGGCTCATATTTCCAAACTTTGCTTGTAATACCAACGTGACTTCGTATGTACTCTGTGGTATCTCACCTTTGTGGAAAATCTTTATTGGTAAATTCGTGCTCAACCCGTATTTGTCCCTGGCGTTTATTAAAAACTCGTACCCAGATTTCGGTTGGGATTTGAAAGCATCCACATTCGGGTACGCTACGATAGTTTGAGAATGGTCCAGTGTAATCCAGTAGTTGTCGCTCAGAGGAGTAGATGTTGAGGACAATAAAGATAGAGTCAAGTTTGGAGTGTACCCGTCTTCTTTATCAAAGAATGTGTTGTAGGGAATGGGGTATTTTAAAAGGCTGCTACACAGGGTTATATTGAGTCGTTCCAACTGATGCAACACCGTAGGTCGTTGGTTCAAACACGGTCCACGCATCTCGTCTTCCACGCTATCCACGATTAACGCCGGCGCAAGAGATTGGATGAATCTTGGATGTGGTAAGGTTCCGCTATGAATCGTCGCTTGTCGGATTCTTTCGATGTTCTGATAATCACACGGCGAGTAACGAAGAGAGCAGTATGACCACACAACTTTCAACAATGATTGTGAAATCTTGGTAAACTCTGCAACACGAATTTCATTTCTCATTGAGCCATCAAGATAGCGCTCAGTTGCCTCGACAAATTCGATTGTTTTTAAAACTAGATTTTCTTTCGAGAGAGCCAATGAAGGGACTTGAACAATAGCACTTGTCCTGTAGCTGTCCCGAAGAATTGTATCCTTCACTGACACAATCAAATCTATGGATGCGTTTCTTCCATGCGAGTCTACCGCAGTCAGCTTAAAGATTGATCCACCATCAGGCTGGTTTGCAACAGCATTTAATGTTGGAACAGCATAAATTATTTGCGAGAGATAATCGAAATATACCCACTCTGAATTTTGAGGTAAAACACTTTCCAAATTCAGACTCAAGTTTCTGGTGTTGCCGTCTTCGTCATGAAACGTATCCTCCGGTATTTGAAATTTCAATATTTCACAAATTGTTATGTCAATAGTAGGAATCACCTTGGTGACTCTTGGCGGGTTATTTGGAGGATTCAGACAAGGCCCGTGTCTTTGAATGTACGATTCTTGAACAACGAATTCCGGTAGGAATCTTGCAGTAAACTCGCTTTTGAGGTTCTTTAAAGAATCTTCAAATGTATTTGTTACTCCAGAAATTACCGAGAAATCACAGACACTTTGACTGACATTTGAGGTCGAGTTAATAAAACCAGCCTGGAATTTCGCAGGATAACCTGAGGATCTCACATAGCTCGCAACTTGCATCCCACGAAAGGCTCCAAAACCATTTAATTTCTCCTGGAAATTTATAAGATGTTTGACGTCAGGTGAGGATGAGCTAAGATAACTCGTGAAGGTCAAATATAATTCAAAGTTTTGTGATATAATATTGTTTTCAAGATTTATATTAAAGAGACTACTGGCTGTCTTTCCACCACTATCTGTTGCTAGTAAGACAAATCTCATGGAAATTGAACTAGGACTTATGTCCCTTTTCACGACACGAGAATTTGTCCTCAAATCACTCTCTGTGAAAATCCCATACAACACTTGCAGGGATTGGTCGAGCTGTAAAGATGAGTTTCTTAGAACCACTTTGTTATCCTCATCCAACAATGTCAGAGTTAGGTTCCTGGTGTCCCCATCTTCTGCGTCTGAAAACACATTTCTTGGAACTTCGTAATGAAAAACTGTTGGAATTGTGGTGACGTTTAAACTCAGAGTTGGAACGACCACCATTGGTAAAGAGTTTAGTGCATCTGCGCAAGATCCCAGCCTCTGTTCAAACACCATCAATATTTCAAACTCCGGAAGCAATGCCCGTCCGAATTCGGCATTTGGATGATTATTGTCGGAGCGCGCCTTCTCGGAAATTTCGTGCAGACGCGGCAGATCACAATTCTCGTAATCCAGTTCTGAAACACTCCAGGATAGGATATCAGTAGATGGTACACCAGAACCTCGTTCGTATGATAAGACGTCAAGGCTGATATTTCCACCAAAATAACTTGCTGCTTTAAAAAGAAAAAGTCTCATGATATCGACATGAAAAACGATGGACGAGAAATTACTTCTAAATATTACGTTCATTTTAAAACCAATGTTTTGAAGCCTCGAAGTGAGCTCTACAGTGAAACTTGCGTTCGCTTTCAAGCCATAGCTGTCTTCAGCTTTCAGAAGGAATGTGTAGTTCTCGTTTGACTTTATTTTATTTGTAACAACTCCGTATAGTTCGTCCGTGGTGTCATTAAATTGCAACCAACTTTCCGGTGGTAGAATATTCCCAGATGAACTGAACATGGTAAGACTGAGGTTAGATGTGAATCCGTCTTCTGCATCATAAAATGTTCTTACTGGTAGAACGATGGAAAAGAATCCGTGTGTTGGAATGACAAAATGTGGGATTGGATGAAGAAGAATCGGCGGTGTGTTGGAACAAGATCCTAAAACGATGAAATAAATTAGTCTTTTTAACCAAATCCATGTAAATAAGTCACAATTGTTATGAAGTCATAAGTGTTATGAAGTTACTTGCAATATTTACCTGTTTTGTATTCCGTTACACCTAATATTAGAAAATCTGGCTCCATCGCTCTGGTAAAGTTTTTACTTGGTTGAAAGTTATGGCGAGGCTTCGTAGAATTCATTCTCTCTCCTACAATTTCACTGCTGTTTTCTTGGATCAACAAATGGCGCCTGATTTCCTGGAGTTCTGCGAAATTACATTCAAGTCCACGAAAGACCATTTCTGATATTCCAACCTTTAAAGTCGTATTGCCCTTGAAGTAACTCGTGACAATAATATGAGAGTTTCCTAAGAAAGCCTTTACCTTGTCTAGAAATTTTAATACTAAGTCAATATCTTGATGTTTCTGGCTGGTATTGTAAGCCATATTGAATTCCATCACGAAATTCACAGCATCAAAGGTGTCATTAACAATGATACGTATGGTAGCATTTGCCGTGTTGGAGTGGCTATCCATAGCAACGATGTTTATGTCGTAGCCGTCGGTTGGTTGTTCCTTAGCAACAATTGACGTTGGCAAGGCATAGAGCTGTTGAGTCGTTGCGTCAAATTGAATCCATGAAGACCTGTTAAACGGTTTGAAAAACTGATCTAGAGCAGTCACCGAGAGATTCTTTGTATACCCGTCTTCTTTGTCATAAAACAAGTTAGCTGGCAGCTGGAATCGTAGTGCTTGATAGAGAAGGATATTTAGAGATTTCACAGGTGATAACAGGACTGGTGGAGTATTTGAGAATATATGACTACACGTTTCCAGGAATTCTAATCTGATCTCTTGCACAAGAAAATATGGTAGCAAAGCTTCGGAAAACGATTGAGTCACTCCACCTTCGGGATTGGTAATTTGCTTGAATCTGTCTCGGATCATTTTGTGATCACATGTGTTAAAATTAGCGCTTTGATTGGTCCAAGAAACGGTGACGTCAGCTGGATACGTCTTTGAAATATTGTAGGAGATTACTCGAATACGATCTGTATCTTCACCGAGAAATAGACTTAGTTTTTTCAGAAATTCAATAACGTGGTTCACGCACGGCAGTGAGGCGTCAATATAACTGCGGAGATTTGCGGAAATACGATAATTATAAGGTTGAGCTGTCGCTGGAAGATAAACAACTACAACAGAACTTGCAATTCTTCCGCCACTGTCTTGACCAACAAGCACGTAACGGTACCCGTCACTGGGCTGTGCCTGAAGGGCAGCTTCATCAGGCAATCCATATATGGCTTGTCTACCAGTGTCAAACACGATCCACGAGTCAGCAGAGAGCGGTTCAAGCGAAGACAACAACAAAGACAATTTCAGGTTTCTTGTATTTCCATCTTCAAGATCATTGAAAGTGAGCACTGGAACTTTATATTCAAAATACGTCAGATTTAAACGTAAATTATGCACAGGAATAAGAACATTTGGTGGTTCATTGGCGCCTTCCTTGCAATGTCCTTGTCTTTCCTCAAAGATGAATTGAACCTCAAACTCTGGCATCATGATCATCTCAAATTCATCCTTAACCTGGCCATCGGCAGCTTTCAGTTTCTGTGATATGTTTGCAATAGCGAGCGAGTCGCATGGCTTGAGTCGTAGTCCTGCTAGAGACCACTTAAATACAGTGACGGTATTTTCTCGGGAATACGACAAAACACGAACCTCATCCGATGTCACGCCGTCAAAGTATAAACTCAATTTTTGAATAATGTTGAGTATTTCTTCGATTTGGGTTGAAAACGAGTGAAGACGCTTTAGAAAAAGTGAGATTTGGTAGTTGGAGGTAGGCAATGGTTGCAAGACAGTTATTGTGACGGAAGCATTGGCTTCAAGTCTACCAGAATCAGTAGCGATAATGTAAAATTGTTCAAAGACAAGGCCAGAGTGTTTACGTGCTTCGTCGAGAACAATTACACCCTCTATGGTTTTCGCAGTGTCGTTCAGCATGATCCAAGTTTCTGAAGGTGATCGTGAAGCACTCGTGTAACGAATGCTAAGCGAAAGATTTCGAGCATCCCCGTCTTCTTTGTCGTGGAAAAGATCACGTGGGATGGCGTAACTGAACCTCTCACAACAAGTGATATTCAGACGTATATCCTCCCCTCTGGCCACTGGTGCTTCGTTTAAACACATTCCTAACTTTTTAGCACGAGCATCGAGCAAGACATTAGGAACTAGGGCGATAACAAAATGTGGATTTAGGAAGCTCTCATCAATTCTGATTAAATTTAAAGTTTTCTCTACTCGTCTGACATCACACACGTCTGTAACGGCTTTACAATCACTCCATGTTAGCTGTGTTTTTGTTGAAGTTTGGTTAAGATTTAAAATTTTCATAGTTGACTTGTCACCATTGTACAAATACCCGATGATATCTTCAAAAAGCCGCACGAGATTGAACTGGGTCAAAGCGTCTCTAACTTCTATTGAAATTTCTTGACCCGATGGGGTGTGGTCATCGTGTACCGTCAAAGTTAGACTTGCGTTTACCTCACGACCGCTGCTGTCAACTGCTGACAATATGTATTCGAAATCAACTCGCGTAAGGTTATTGGCAAAAATTTCCGGAGAGACTGGTATACCGTACACAATATTACGAGTGGGATCGAAGCTGACCCAGGAGTCAATCGAGAGTTCACGGAAACTCTCCGTAAGCAGCCGTAAGGTCAGGTTGTTGCCATCTTCTTTATCCCAAAACGTATCCTTTGGGATCTTGTAGTACAAGTATTGACAAGAGGTGATGTTGAGTGTTGCTAAGGGACGCTGTACGACTGGATCAGTATTTACAGCCAGAGAAGTTGAGTGGGTAGTTTTTAGAACAACTTCGCTTTTTGATGGTGATATATTAATATGAACCAGGCTGGTTCTTGTAGATATACGATATAGAGTAGAAGAGATGGACATCCCGTGTAGCGGATTTGTTGAATTGAAGCGTGGAGTGGTATTAATAACAACTGGGTGTGGAGACGCTGCGTTTATTGAAGTGGAAATTCCCAGAGATGAAACAAAGGATGGTTTCTCTTGGTCAATTGCTGATAGCACAGACGATGATGGCGTTGTAGTTGTGACGTTAGTTATTTGAACTGATAGTGAACTAGCTCTTACCAACATGCTATGATGAATAAGGGAGGCAGTAGTACTTCGGTGTGCATCAAAATAAGCGGAAGATGCAACGATACTTCTGTGTACACCCAACAAACATGAAGTGCTGTCGTTTCCATTTAAAACTCTCCAAGAAAACACGGGATAGTCAAGGACAGTTGTATTGAGTCTCGCAGTTATATCTGACGTCGTAGTAAACACATTCAAATCACATCCTTCAAGCCACGAGATTTTGAACAGAGGCCCGGAATAACTCGTATTTGCTTCAAACTTTTCCAATATATCACAGCCATTATGACTGATGTTTTTTGGTTCATATTCATGCTTGAAATAAAGCGAGGCAGTGCGATTAGCAGAAAGATCAAATTCTGTTACAAACCACTGAAAAAGTTCAATCCTTTGTGTCGAATTCAATTGGGTCGCGTTCACAGAAAGAGATACTTGTGTCGCAATGAAATTTGCGTTGTTATTACAGTAGGAGAGGTTTTGGCTTCGTACAACATTGATTTGAAAATTCTGTGCGCCAAGTAGTTCGTTTTCATTGGTCGATGTTTTATTGCATCGCATTGCAACAACAAATAACTGGTAGGAACCAACATCAGAAGACAATGGTATTCCCGTTAATGAATAATCTTCATCGTCGTAGGTGAGCCATTTGGGAAGGTTCTGAGAGCCAACTGCAGATACCTTAAAACAATTTAGAAAACGCGACGTTAACTAGGAGACTTTACACATGACATGGAAGAAATAGACTTTTCCAACAACTAGGGACCAGAAATTTTTAAGAAAACTATTCACAGTTTTCTTATTTTCACCGTAGTGAGAAAATCTTATTTTTTTGCGTGCATGGTCGTTTAAAATGAATTAAACTACAAGTACATGGATGATAAAAAACAAGATTTATGCGTAATTAAATTGAAAGCAAAAATTGAAATGCCACGTTACATATTTAACGACGACCAAACTACACTGATATAGTTAACCAGAAATCATGTTAATCAACTTGGCAGGTAGTCCCAGGTACCGGTCACTTTGACAGTCCTTTTACTACGATTTACAACGCGAGTCTACACATTTTTGCTTTAAAACAGAGGAAAAACTGAATGGATTATAATAAAAAATAGATAGACAGTTGTCAGAATGTTTGCATACATAGCTATCGCATGTACGAAACCCATACTCCAAAAGCGTAACTATATAAGTATTGAATGTTTCTGTTTAATCAGATAGCTTGTAAACAATATACCTGATTCAGCGTCTACACTTTAGGAAATAAAGTTAATTCTGAAGTTGCTTGTTGCTTCAGCTCAATTCAATAAAAATTGCAAAACATTATAAAGAAGTTGTATATTTCTTGTCTTTTCTGTGCTTTATCTCATAAAATGTTTTAGCATATTCTTGAATCGAAAATTATGCAAAAGGTGCGAAATAACAGAGAAACTTGATTTGAGCAGAATACGAGTTCAATTCCTAAGTCCATTTCATTTTTATCTATCTAAAAAATACGTCGGTCATTTCATATATGGCATAATTACTTACATCGTTATACAAATTGGTTAAATTACTTATATTATACAACGTACGATTAGAATGACATGTCCTGACTTACCAAGAATCGTATATTGTAATCACGTAGACTTGACGATGCAATAGTAGTTCGATAGAACTGGCCTGTGTATGCATTAGGAACCTTCACCTCTGGCCAGATACTCGAGAATTGCTGTCCTTCAATTTTGCCATTATCCAAATAATATCCTGTGGTTGGGCGATTGCATTCTTGCCAATACAGTACGATGAAAATAGACAATATATTCCGGAAACTGATCATTGCGGATAAACAATTAAATTCACTTCGGAAAACGAGAAGTCAGCCTGCATTTTAAGAAGCAAAGCCACAGGGAAGCTTAGAACATACTTCCGTAGACTGTGTTTAATACGATATTGGCTCTCATTGCTGGCAATCAAACTTTTATTTCGTCGATTCAATTTTTGTTGATTAATATGTAGCGGTATTGAAAAGCGTCAATATATTTTGCATACTCATTTGCAAATCAGTGAAGATGTAGTATTCACTATATTTAGAAATGCCATCATATATACCTGTCAAAGAAAAATATTTTGCAGTCGTACGAAGAATATGTAATATATATAAATCACATGCGATATTTGTGAGAATATTCTAACATATTTATTGAAGTTTTTCACACCTACAATTCCATATTTATCTATATTCTATTATATCTGTATTTTATTTTTTAGAATTAAATCATTTTTACTTGGAATAAACTATTAAACAATGAAATTTATACTTTTCATGATTCATCTTTTTCGAGTGTTCAACTGCATGACAAGACGTTTCTAAAACGAATAAATAAAGGAAACATTATACAAAGGCTATTTCATTTTCTCAATAGTTGTGTAAATTCTAGATTATTCCGGCAAAAAATATATTAAGCATTTACTTAATTTCTTCTACTACAAGAAGTTAAGAAAAGAGTTTTACTCCAGCAACAAACTTGGGACTTATCCACTTACGTCTACAGCAGTTCATATGCTTGAAATGCCCATTCTTTTCCAACACCATGCCAACATTCATTACTACGGCCATCCCTGTTGTAAATATCTTTAGCTTTATCCGAGGACCAGCATTCGCCATAAAACTCCACACCAAATACCTTTTAGGACATAATTTGTTTGAAAAAAAAATGATAAAGAAAAATATACTTGTCGTGGACGTCATTGAGCTCCATCGCGCAATGGACGAATATCACTCAGACTTATTGTTGATGCCGAATTTTTCCATTGCAACTATAAACACAAACCTTGTAGCCATTCTCCTTAGCTGCTTTCGCACAGTCTACGATAGTCTTACTCATATCAAACCAATCTATATTACTCCGAATGTTTTTAAAATGATCATCAAGAGGTCGTGTATCATCACGATAGCAACCAAGATTCCTCACTGAAAAATACGGTTGAATTGATTACCATTTTCCGGCCGACTCGACCATGGTCGAATACGCCATTTTCCGGCCGACTCGACCATGGTCGAATACGCCATTTTCCGGCGGACTCGAACATAGTCGAATACGCCATTTTCCGGCTTATATAATATGACTTACTCGGAGTATCGCTGCATGAATCATGTATAAAAGTAATGTCATCAATGGCTATATCACTACGGAAGTTCATACCACGAACACCTTCGATAATCACCTGTGAAGAGCGGTAAAAGAAATATGAAAAAGTGGCGTAATGGAGCGAGACTTTGACACTCGAGTTCACCGCCCAGAGGACTGTCTCTCCTGTATAAATTACGTTAGTTTTACATACATGATAGTCACTGGTGCTACTCAAATCTAAATGAACTGTTTGCCACTGTTTCCCTTGATCTCCTACTTTAGAAAACACCAACTTCTTTCCTTCAGCGTTACTTAGGTAGATATTCAGGGATCCCATACCACTTCCGTACATATTATAGGAGAGTATAAAGCAAATTGATTGGTTGGATCCTGAGAATGTTTTACTGATCAAGCGTGCCTTGTGCCCCGTCCTGGCTGGCGAAGATGATTCGATGAATAAATAGTGGCCTAGAAAATTTATATTTGCTGTGTTGATGGTGGATAAACACTAATGCATTTCGACTCTGGTATTAATCAGTTTCACTGCGTGTTTTGGGGGAATCAGAAGAAAGTTAGCTTAGGGAGAAGTTAAGAAGAAATATTGGCGAAATAAAACTGACTTATACGAATTACAGGAACGACTAAAACTATTTGCATATTTTATTAATTCAATAAGTGCGGTTGAAAAACGTTATAAAAGTCTTCTATGAAGAAAGGAAATGCAAGTAAATAGAGCAGTTCCTCACCCCCACCACTTGTGTGATCTGCCACAGGTCCAGTTTGTGAGCTGGGTGTCGGCCCTTGACTACGTTTCCAGTCCAAGTTATCACTGACATCTTGCGTCCAACCGCAAAAACCATTTGCATCCACTTCAAACTCACAATCATCGGGTCCTTCCACAGAACAAAAATAATTTTTCTATTTTAAAACACCTTTAATTTTTCTTACCCACCCTTCCCCTGGCAAATGTAGAAAACGCTTCCTTCTTCAAGGGAAAAGCAGATTTATTATTGCTATTCGAGACCAACAACCTCCATTGATAGTAATCTTTGTCAATAGTGATGAAGTCCAACTCAAGGAAAGCTCAGGTGAAACTTATTGAAATCCGCAATTAAACAACAAAACAGGTGTCCAGGATCCTACCTAAGCCACAAGACTGGAATACGCACGGATTCTCCTCCTTCCCATCGCCGACGCAATTTTTTCCGCCATTCCTTGGCACGGGATCATCACATGTGCGCGCACGTGACCTGGTCCCAGGTCCACATCGCGTGCTACATGAACTCCACGATGACCATCTTCCCCAGTGTCCAGCAATCGGAGCTGTCAAACGTTTGAACGTGGAATGAGGTGACTTCATGGGAAAACATTAAGCTATCCATTAACTCAAATACAACCTACTACCCACCATTACACTCCACCACGCTACACACGACAATCTCCTCTTCCACTCCATGAGAAATTGTACCAGGGCAATCTTTAGAAGGATTTGACGAGGTACAAAACCTCTCTCGTTTCTTCTTACAGCCGGCATCACAAGGGGTGAACGTTGACCAGGAACTCCAGCCGACATTCGTCGCTACAAGGAAAGAGAAAATGCAACTGCAGCTATCTCTTCTGATTACAAAAAAATTAAACCATCAACAACAAGAATTGCTTTGTGTAGAAAATGAAAAATGAAATGGGCAAAACGTGTCTGAAGTTTGCAATTGTTAAAGTGCAGCTGTAGTTTAGAACATGAATATCATCATGCAAGAGAGATACGCACAGTTACAATCATACAAGTCATTAACTTCGTCAATATCTAGTTGAGAAAAACCATTTCTTTGCCCCAATTTGAGATCCGTTTGTACTATCGAGCGAATGGTGTCCATGCCGTTCTTCGAGAAATACGAGTTTCCATAATGCATCAAGGACTGAAAGTCGTACGGTTTGTCTTGATGGTCGACTGTGAAATAATTTTCCTTCATAAAATTGTGCTCCTTTCCTAATAAAACAATGTCGTTGATCAAACAAATAGAGAAAACGTAAAGTTTCGCACCCAAAATGCCAAATGACGCAGAGAATGTAATAAAAAAACCTTCTCGGATGTTTTCCCAAAAAATTTCGACGTAATTATTCCGATCAGCTCTCGATTGTTCGTGCCAGAAACCCAGGGCATGAAGTAACTCATGCATAACAGTAGCTGTCATGTTACAGCCAGCACCAAGAGACAGTTTCTGGGGACCTGACATCCAGTAATTTTGACCAACCGATGACCAGCAACTAAACAATGTAAAAATGTTTCAATATTCATATTCCCCTCTTTAACTTTCTACGAGATTGTTAAAGATTGTCTCAAGTGCAGGCAAGAATGCACGTACCCTTTTTCTTTAACAAATTGGATCCAGTTTTTTTCATTCGTATGAGAAACAAACTGGACACAAGTGTGCCGGTGAAATTCATCAATAGCTTTTAAAATTGTCGGTCCGTACCAACTGTCAACTGAAGAGAAGAATAATTTCAGTAGAGCATGCAGCTATCTTGATGTGGCCACATGTACCCGTTCAGACAAAAATAAAAATTAGGTTTTAGAAGAACTTGGCTCGATTTTGAGAAGTTGACGTACTTAACTCCTGGGTTATCTCATACGGTACTTTTTTGTTTTGCCATAAAAACTTCCTTGACCTGCGAGCATTCCTTTTTGTTACCGTATTTTCCTCTTTATGGAGGACGATGTCACTTTCAAAAAGATCAAGATCATTTTCTACAAAATAAGTTTCGAAATCAATCTTTTAAAAAAGATTTAGAAACTCTTGTTGGTTTTGGCTACCATAGCAAGGTCCATGGACATGCGACAAATCCCAATAAAAACACGTTAAAATTAATCATTAATTACTAATTATCTGAGATATACACTTTTTATTATATTTTATTAAATATTTTTAAAACGCAACCTGGTTGGCAAGGCAGTTAAGACGGTGATGTAACTGTTTCATTCTCTAGATCTCGTAGCACAATATCTTAGTGAGATTACAATTTTACACTGGAAACCAAACCTTCATTAACGATCGCTATTTCAGTCATGACATCCGTTCCACCATCATCTTCGAAAGTATTGGAGTTGGAATTGCTACCTACACGATTCGAAAAAAAAAATTCTGACCGTTTATTGATACAGGTCAAACACTAACCTTTTGAATTCAGAAATATAAAAACGGAAACAGTTAATCGTGTGTGAACAACGTACTTGCATCGGGCAATGGTCCGCCAATTGATAACGGGGAAAACACGAGGAATAATAAAACCACAAATATAATTTTAGCCATTTTTGTGGAACCAATTAAGCAGAGCGACTTTTCTTCAACCCAACAGACTAACTATGCTTTAGTAAAAGCCGCTAAACCAGCCGCACTTTTAAAGGACACACTATATATAGGGAAATTTCCTTTTTAATTACAAGAACAAATAATACTTTCGAAACATGCTAATGTTGACTTACAAATTCAAGGATTTCTGTTATAGTTCCCACGGTATGACATCTGATATATTACAAAGGATGTACAATAGAACATTAATTACTAAGATAAACGACTTAATACATACTTCAAGAGTCAACGGCTAACTACGTTTCATGTATATATATGAGAAAAACAAACACGTTTGAAAATCATATTTCTTAAATTGCCATGTTCTTAAATTGTGAATTGGCGGTAAGAAAAGACGAAACTGATGCCGTTTACAAAACCAGAGAGATGTATAAAAGAAAGAATTGTCGGGATATTTCTATTCATCAAATTGCATGCCATTGTTTCGTTTAATTAGTGGAAGAACTAGGCACAAATTATTCGTTCAACAGAGACAAACCGCAGTGGGTTGTAATATGCCGCGAACTGCCTCCTGGCGCTATAAATGTTATCCGACTCGCTGGAACTTCGCTGGATGATTCAAGTCAAACGACCGTCGCTAAATATTCTTCATCCTTCGGCATGGCCATGATTAAACTTCAAAATTTTAAAGTTAAAATAGCTCCCAATAATTCTAAATTTGATATATCGTCGTTTTAGCTTTTTAAATAATTTTTCGATGTATAAAAAGATAACTCTCTGGGCCAGTTGATAACTTTTACCGCCTTTCAAAAACAAGATTTAAGTTTTCGTTGATTTTTACTCAGTGTTCTGGGAATTGAACCCAGAGGCCAGGAGATGTAAATATGATGGATTTGTCGCATCCAAGCTACTAGAATGAATTCAAGTTAACATGAAACCGTAAAATCATAAAGCTATAGCATGCATTAACGATCACTTTGGCCCCAAACATGGACACTGTTTTTTTAAGGAGGGAAACCGGAGTACCCGGAGAAAAACCCTCCACCGAAATCGAAAAGCCGGAGTTCCGAAACCTACGGGGACCCCCCTGTACTCAATTATTTACAGAAGTTTACATGTTTTATTATTTTATTACTAATTAGATATCTATTTACACACTACAGCCTGAAAAAAGAAGAAACAATATGTTATTAAAAAAAGCCGCTGCATTGAAGATTTTAAACCGCCATATTTGAAGGTTGAAATGGGAATTACGCGCGCAATGTCCGTCGTGTGTCAGATAAAACCCAGATGTGGATTCTCAATCATGCGCTTAACCTAACTTAACCTATGGTGCATCCTATATCGCACCCTGGTGATCCTCCACAAACTGGGTTGTCATGCGCCTATACAATTGTTCAAAGTAAAGTCAAACTCCCATCCAACCTTCCCAGAACCAACATTTTAAATCTAAAAATGTCGTTCTTTTTGCATGATAGCGCGTCGCGCATACTTTAACGAACTTTCATCTCAACGTTAACACAAAGCCTCGTATACTCCGGTTGAAATTTTTTTTCGTTAAAGTATTCAAGTACCATGTATCGACACATTGTGATTTTCATTTTTTTATTTCATTTCATTTTTCGCCGCGAGCGCTGCATTTTAACGGTCTGAATGAATCCGGATCATGCACGAATGTCGTTGTCGGCCGAAACAGATTACGAATTGCGTCAATTGTTTTAATCGTCTCGTCAGTAGTTCCTAAGTCAGACCGTGCGAACTCCACTTACTCCGGCGAGGATTTAAAGACAAAAATCTTCATCCGAAAGTGCGCAGCGTGCAGCTGAAAACACTCCGTTCCATATTATTAAAGAACACTACAGAACAGGTGCCTCAGCGCGAGAGATCATTACAACATGGTACTTAGCGCCAACACAACAGTTTTTCTAATAGAAAAACGCTGCTAACGGCGCTTATAACGTGTACGCCATAAGCTAGTTTTCACTTTTTAAATTTCAAGCGAAAAATATCTCGGAGCATAAACGTTAACCGAACGCGTGCACTACGATACCGCTCGTCTGACTGAAAATCAAGAACAACCATGCAACCTGGATTTTTGCAAACCAGTTTTCAAACGATTGCAGCTGTGCTTGGTCTTCCTCAGGCGTTCCTGGTGGTTTGAAAAGACTGCGCTGCGCGCGCTGCTTTTAAAGAGTCGTCGCTGATTGCCAAATTGGAATCAGAATTTGCCAACTCTTTTTGCGCGAACGAAATTCAAAGTTGCATCATCAAATTTTGTAGTTTTGCACATTTTTATTTTTTTAAATTTTTGAAAATTGCCATCATTACGATGGTCATATACTGAAATACATGCAGCTTATGTTTTTTAATCAATTATGCCAAACTTAGTTGAGGTATAACATGCAACTAATTCAAACCTCGTGCATGCAACCGAGGAACCATGCAACCTAACGATTAGTCCTCAACTTTTAGTGTGAATGGTCGTTATTATTCATTCACTTCACTTGAGAGATTTTATTTTGAAATATCATGCACAAAGAAATTTCCTGATAGCCATTTGACTATCCCTTAGCAATGCGCCATCAATTGCATCTACGCACGAGTGGATATTTTACAAACGAACAACTGTACAATTCAACTGTACTTGTTATAACTGAAAAGCCGCGTTCAGTTTCCGAATAGTAATCAAACGGACAGTTCAAAATTTATCATGCAATGCCAAAGAGTGAGGATCGGTCATTCAAGTGCGTAAAATACATTTGACTAAAACCACCAGGAGATCTCGAACCCAGACTCAATAAAAGCCTATTTGATAGCATGCACAATGCAAACTTAACTGGAATTTCTGGATTCGAGATTGAACTACAGTAGCTATAGTATGCAACATAATATGAACCTGAAAGCAGACATCATCTTTATCTGTCGTCGCAGGCGTCTTTGGCGTCGTCGTACGGAGGTGGTCGTCGTCATCGGTGTAGTCGTCACATCGGTGCTCGTTTATCGGTCGTCGCCACGAGATCTTCGTCGGTCGTCGTCAACACATCAGTCATCAACATCAGTTTCGTCTTTACAATCCAATGAACACTCGAAGCGTGGACAAATCATGTACAGTTTGTTCTTATGAACCAGCTACCGTTCTGTCGTTTTCAGAGGAACCCCTCAGCTCGTTTTTGAAAGTTCAGTTCGTGTTTCAAGCTTCGGTTCGTTCTCAGGACCATATTTCGTGTATACCAGATATCAGTTTTGGATCTTTAGTTCATTTCTTTTCAAACAGAATATGATAATGTCTATCAACAGCCACTCTGGCGTAGGAAGGCGATCCAGTCGCGGCTCGGTGCGGTTTTTTGCTGGACCTGTTTTTCTCTTTCATCATGACTTGGTACGTGATATGTTAAGATTGGATTTAAAGGCAATCACAATTCGCACGCAAATGCATAATTTAGCCTACATTTTTGTTGAAAATGTTAATCGAAATATCGTATACTCAAGATTTAATTCTTTTCAACTTTCATGTTTGTTGAAGAGACACAGACATTCCCACATATAGTCTGGGAACAACTCCAAATTCTACAATCGTTGCTCAAGATTTTAAACATTTTTTATGCAAGCTTTATCATGTATACTTGCGATTTTTTTCATTTTAAACCGATGCAGACTAAAGCATTATATACTGTAAACTCCTTGCAAAGATCATTTTTCATGCCCCTAAGTTTAGGCGCTCACGAGAGCGGAAGGTTTTGCCTATAGCTTCAACACAGAAATACGAATGAGGGGCCCCTTTCATCCGTATTTCCTTTGTTAGAAGCGACCAGTTAAATCCAACTGGTTGGAAAGCTTATACTGTATGTTTGAAAATTGAAACTCAAGGAAAGCAGACAGAATATTACGCGATAGTCTAGCATCACATTTCATGCATGTTCGTATCAAAATGCCAAACAAGAAGTGAAAATGTTCCCGTTAGAAACGACTCGCGTTTTGAGTGAGATCCAACCCTTAGCATATAGCAAAGTGTGAAAATAAACTGCACGATATGACCGTGAGCATATAGCAAGGTCTGGAAGCAAGTGTATAACACGACCGTGAGCATATAGCAAGGTCTGGAAGCAAGTGTACAACACGACCGTGAGCATATAGCAAGGTCTGAAAACAAGTCCATAACACGACTGTAATTATTACGAAAGACCTGAAAACAAGTTTGAAATTTGACCATATGCATATAGCTTGGTCCTACAGCGAGTCTAAAACGTGACCATGACCAGAGCATATAGCAAAGGTCTGGGAACGATGCCAATCAAAAGGACATCTCCAAAGACTCAAACAAGCAAGACTTCAATTTGGCAAGTTTATGAAAATCATTTCATCGGTGTACACTGAAGACCTTCTGCTCAAATAACAAATACTTTCGAGGTTCCAGATGTGCTCCTGAAGTACGAACCTTCGTAAACACTCCAGTGACTTCACAGTTCAGTTGCTTGCACCAAAACACGCTCCGGACGCTCGGCTGAGCTGCCGACTCTCCCCAAATGGCAATCGGGCCCGCAGGCCTCCCGAAAGATGCACACACGAAGGGCGGCGCCTCCCCCCACATGAACACAACTGACACCCGGGGAAAATCAACATCACAGTCGGACATTCAAAGCATACTCCGGTGCAGGCGACTAAACTGTGAAGTCACTCGAATATTCACAAAAATTCCTACTTCAAGAGCACAACTGAAACCTTAAAAACATTTAGAATTTGCACAAAAGGCCAACAATGCACACAAATAAAATAATCTCCATGCCCTCACCCCAATGAAGTCCCAACATGCTATCGTCTATTTCTTTGCCCTTCAAAATGGCTCATGCAATTTTTTAATCAGAAACGTTTTCCGCATTTGCGCGCACTTAGGGATTGCCTTTAGTCACCTTTCTTTCTTTCTTTTTTCCTTCCTTTTCTTTCTTTTGAAGATAGCGAACGTTTCTTTCTAAAATTAACAAATGAGACTTCGATGAGTGAAGAAATTTGGAAGCCAACTGATTTTAAATATATTAAACATCATCATGAAAGGCCAGCGTTAGACCATGCAATACGAGATTTCTAGACAAACACTAATTACAGGGAGCTTACAGTGGCAAAACAGTGAGAAAATCTGTCTATGTGGTGATGTGCTGGTAAC